CTGGTCTTTTGCTTGTATATTATTCTTTACAATTTGTATTACAGTTGTGTGTGTGTGTGTGTGTGTGTGTGTGTATTTCTGTGTCTCTTGTGCTTTTTTCCTTTATTTTGTTAGTTTTGTTTTATTTGACTGTTTTTTAAAGAGAGAAAGAGAGAGAAAGAAGGAATGGAGCTGTAAGGATGGAGAGCTATGGAAAATTTGGGAGTAGATGAGGGAGGGTAACTATGACATAAATATATTATATGAAAAATGCATTTTCAATAAAAGTAAACAAAGATATCCCTTTAACCTTGATAAACTTGACAATTTCTAAACAATACCAGAAGTATTCTCATCTGAAAATTAATTATAATATTGATCATAAGTAATAATAACCATATGCTTGTTTTTAGAAACTTACAGTTCATGAAACGTTCCCTATAACGTATTACTATAATGCTACATAGTATAATGCAAGCTCCAGAGAGACCATACATGACAGACACTTAGAATGCATTGATAAGCCATTTCCAATCATTAAGCGTATTTATCTTTCTCATAAAACCTTCCTTGTGTTCCTATTTTGCCTTCAAATTGAACTGTACCCCACTGTCATTTTCAGGCCCTACCCTCATCGATTTCATGGTGTTACTGCACCCCTGTTTAGCTTACTATGAGGGAAAGAAGCTGTGGGCTGTGTGTACCCCACCTGCTCAGTTCTGTGTAGTTAATAGTTTCTGCTGCAAAGCTGGCAAAAACATGAATCAATGCAGCATTACAACACAGACCAGAAAAATGAAGGGTGATGAAAAATAGATCAGAAAAGATACCAAAGGAAAAGAAACAAATGAACACATTAACTGGAGGTAAAAACACCATTTATAACATTTTGGGTCTGGGCGGCTTTCAGTGTTGCATACAGAGAAAGTAAGAATGGATCAAAATGGGAGCACTTCGCTTATGAACTAGGTGGCTTCACAGTGCTGCAGAATGATGGGTAAGCTTTCTCAAAGGACCACAGTCAGCTGGCATTCCTGGTGACATCACAGCATTTTAATAAAACGCAAGGTGCTCGTTGTAGACATAAAATAAATGGCCATCTGTTTTCCCCTCTGTATAGATCAGACGAGGTACCCAGAATGGAGAGTATGGCTGTTAAAGATATTTCTACAAATGCTCCACAAAATACTCTTTGGTGGTTTGTCTGAATCCTGAGTTGCTAAGTCTCAAGTCTTCATAGGAAGATACAAAATAATCATAGTGGTAATTACTGTCTCATTATTCCTGCTGAAAAAAAAATATTGTAAGAACACTTACTGCTTAAGAATGGATTTTAAGTCAGTTACTACTGATAATTTATAATCTTTCTCAGAGACCCTTTTCCATAATTCTCTAAAGCCATGTATTTGTTTGAAAATAAGAAATTTTGTGAGTTATTAACGTTAGGCATGTTCTCATCAATGCCTCACTTAACAAGAATCTCATCAGTCCTAAGAACATGCAAGGAAAGATCACACGGAGCAGTGGAGCTTCCATAGGCTCCTCCACATCATGTCTTAGAAATCGGTAAACAGCCAGTGTCACTCATGGACCTCAATTGTTCCTTGGCTGTGTGTTGGCAGAGGGCACTATTCTACTGCATCTATAATCCTGCCTATCAACAGAATTCTACATTGTAGAGTTTGACCTGCAGTTTCAGAAAGAATCAAGATTCGCTGATGGAAATTACACATAGAGACTTGTTTTGTGAAAGTTTGAAGTGAGAAGTCCCTAGTGAGTAGAAAGAAAAGGTTAGCAGTTTTCCCCCCTTTCTCCCAGCAATTCATCATTCCCTCAATTCTGTATTAGCATATCATGTCAATCCGGCATCTCAGTACAGTGGAAGAGAAAATCTCAATGGTGTTAGAGTCCTGGAACACTGCTCCTCCCTCCAGAGCACTGTAATTTTGCACAACATGCATTTTATAATTTTTAATTTATATTCAGAAATAGCGTTCTCTCTGGCTCTGAGGTGGCACTCAACCTCGGCAATGGATACTTCAAAGGGTTTGCTGTGACTACTTTATAGTTGAAAATACGTGGTTTTCATATCCCTCAAATAAAATAGCATGTCTTGAACAAGGTGTAGAAGTCTCTAAACATAAAAGTAACTTTTGAATGGCAGTGATGCTTAAAACGGGAGTGGTCAGGAGCCATGCTAAGCATAAATATGTATCATTGTTAAATTTCAGTTCTTCGGTGACTTGACTTAGGCTTGGTGACAGCAAGTTTTCCTGATATCAGATATAGCCAAATTTCTGAGGATCTCACAAACTTGCATACAGTGAAGAGCATACAAAATAAACATTATTTCATATATTGATTCTGTCATGCAAATGTTTTACAGCTGACAATTATGTACTGGACTGAGATGTGGGAATACAAAGTTTCTGACCATTAAAGGCCTTACAATTTAGTTTAGAACAGAAGCCACCAAATAAACATTTAGTATTATATTAGGCAGTAATAGCCTCATGTACTGGAAGAGATAAACAGAAACCCTACAGGACAGCAAATTAAAATTATTATCTACTGGTAAGTGGACATTTATAACAAGAAGACAGAAAGCCTTGGTAAGCATATCTGAAAAAGTTATGATTTTATGAAACCCACATCAAAGTCTAAGAACAAAATTCAATTAGAATACTTTAAAATTAAGCATATAGCACTTGTCGCCTGAAAAATTCCTCGGAACTGGGTTGTTATTTTGCACTGATATGGATGCAGCCAAACTCTAGGCATCTTAATTCAAGGGAACAAATTTGTAGAAATAATTAAAAAGCTAAACTCTGAATAAAAGCTATCATGAAACATTGTCAGTGTTTCAAGAGTGGAAACCGAATCAGAAATTTGTATGTAAATGCAGCAACTGAAGCCAGCACGCTCACCCAGTGGATAATCTGAGTCTATATTTTACTGAAAAACTATCATTCATCATCATCATCATCAATCATCAATCATCAGATATTTTAACTAATCACTAAAGAACTGATGATGCAAACTAAAGCTTTCTTCCACAGAAACGTAGAACTGGGTAAGCTTTTAAAACAATTTGAATGGTTTAAATATTTTAGGGAAGTTAACCTAATAGAGTAGACCATCGAGCAAAAAGTCATTTCTCACCCTCATGGAACTAATCTGATCACTAGGTACCAAAGTCATATATGACACAAGAGCCACCGCACTAAGACTTTGAGCACCCCGCATGGAAGAACAGAACCATTTGGCCACTCATCTCTTACACTTTGAAACTTAATACTATCTTAAATTCTCCATTAATCAATCACACTGTGTTGGGAGTTGGTCTGGTGCTGCTGTGTATCTGGCTCCCAAGATCTGGTTGCAATCCAGATAAGTACATTCTCAAGTACACCAAACGATGTATAAACTTTGATCCCCAATATTCTCTGATCGGTTAAAATAAAGAGAGGCTGGAGTCTGCAGAAGAGAGGTAGGCAGAGCTTCAGTTCCTGGGCTGGGGTGGGGGAGTGTCAAGAGGGAGAAGCGGAGGAGATAGAGAAAGAAGATGGAGACAGGGAATGTGCCTGATGGGGCAGTTCCAGCCAGGATGACTTACTAACGAGTCACTTGGGAAGTGGAACGGAGAGATAGACAGACTAGCTTAGAATATTGGTTTAAGTCGTACCTGCCCAGTTACTGTGCAGAAGCTGTTTAAGTAAATCTATAGGTCTCTGTCTTGATCATTTGGGGGTGAGGAGGGCTGTAGCTGGGTTGCAGAATAGTGCTCTAGAGTTGATATTCAATGACAGTACTGTGTTACAAGTTCTCTCTGTAACTCCATCCTGTTCAGCAGTGAGTTGCCCAAGGGCAAAGACTGATGAACACAGTGCTCAATGGGTGTTCATTGTTCCTGGTGTGCTCATGGATGACGGTGGAAGGTATGTAGTGGGTGCTTGTTGAAACAGGTGTGTTCACAGATGTGCACTTGTGCTTATTTCCCAAGCTGTGATAAGTCGGTTACAAAAATGTTTTAACATGATGCGAAAGGTACTCCTGCACTAGAGACCATTGCTTCCAAAGTTAGAGTATTTTTTTTTTATGTCATAGTCACAGTAAACTTCATAAAGTTTGTCGCTGCTGGACTGACAAATGTTATGACTGCCACTGATATTTTTATCAAAGCTTGCTTGAGAAACACCACGCATATTAGCACTAAGAAATAATTTTTAAGTTGCTTACGTGATTCAAGACTTTAATTTTTTAGACTTTCCATTAATGGCTTACTTAATGTGTTTTTATTTGCATTTCTAGAATCCATTACTAGCAAGAGTTCATTCAAAGTAAAAATATAAATCTCTGCATTCTATAGGAAAAAAACATTGGAAAGCATTGTATACAGCATTTATACAGCGTTTCATACTGATGTTGTTACTTTTAGGTTGTATCAAATGTAATAATTTAACAACATTAAGGAAAATTTTCTTTACTTTTCTTGTAATAATGTATTAGTTGAAAGCCCTCTGTCTTGGCTGGCAGTTTGGGATATTTTGAAATAGGTAAATGCTCAATATGATTAAAGAAAAACCTTCTAAATGCACTTGAAAGAGATTTTGTTTATGAAAATATGCTATATCTAGGCTTAGCATTTGCTCATAAAATGACTGTTCATGGATAAGACAGAAATGCATGAATGTAAAGCCTTTTTTTTTTCTTCACACCAAACTGAACTTAATAAAGATCCTCCATGACTGTGCATGACTCCAAACGCAAACAGTTCTGTGCGTGTTTATCACGGATGCTGGATGAATAGACAAACAGTAAAAATGTGAAATCTTACTAGAGAGCTTATGCTCTGCTGACTTAACTTCATCAGTAGTCCCATAAAAACATGGCCGGTAGCCAAGCAGGCAGCAAGCAAGAACTCCAGAAGGGAGGAGAGGGGTCCTCGAGACCCAGCTGCTTCCCTGGGATCCCTGAACTTTCCCACTCAAAGCGGAGCACCAGCCAGTGGCTCTACTTACAGGTGGGTCTGCGTCTTCGGCGTAGATGGTGGTGATCAGTGTCCCCTTGACAGCATCCGGAGCCACCATCCCCTTGTAGATGCGTTTGCTGAACACCGGAGGGTAGTCATTCATGTCCTGCAGAGCAGAGTGGAGAGTTTAGTGCTGTGGCCAAAGGGATTGGGGCATCAGATAGGTCAATCTGGCTCTTCGTGTCATTCAACCTATTTATCGGGCCAGTAGCATCCTCCAGGTTCCATCTGCATTCCAGCTGACACTGAGAGGAGCCAGGTCCCTGTGTCAGCGTGTACGCTGTCAGACCTACCCTCAGAATATCACACATTTTCAAGCATCAGGTAGTGCTCGGAACTTCCAACCTGGTTATCTCCAAAAGTGTGACGTAAATTCTAACTTTTGAAAACGCAAAGAGGACTTTTTTGTGTGTGTGGTGTGAATGCACAAGCGTCCATGAGTGCGAATTCAGCATGTATGTATGTGGAATGGGCATGCGTGTGTTCATGTGTACATTTGAAAGCTAAAGTACAGCTTTAGGTAACATTCTGTGGGTGCTTGTGCTTCGTTTTTTGAGGCATGGTCACTCATTGGCCTGGAACCCACCACTAGGCCAGACTGGCTGGTTTATGAGTCTCAGGGATCTGTTTGTCCCTGACTGTCCCTGCCCGTTCCAGCCTCTCTGGAGCTATACAAGCTCATGCCATCATGCCGAGTGGTTTATCTCCTTCTCTCCTTCCCTCCTTCTTTCCTTCCTTCCTTCCTTCCTTCCTTCCTTCCTTCCTTCCTTCCTTCCTTCCTTCCTTCCTTCCTTCCTTTTTATAGGTGTGAGTTGTGGGTCTTGAACTCAGGTCCTTATACCTGTAAGTCAAGAACTTTACCAAACAAGCTATTCCACAGGCCATCTGGCTCCAAATGTGGTTTCTTTAAAAGTTACATTCTTAATTAGGTATCATGGTACACATCTTTAATCCCAGCACATGGGAGGCAGAGGCAAGCGGATCAGGATCACTGAGTTCTAGGCTAGCCTGGTCTACAGAGAAAATTCCAGGATAACCAGGGCTACACAGAGAAACCCTGTCTCCAGAAACCAAAACCAAAACCAAAATCTAAAAAGTTACAATCCATGAAATGGGCTAAAAGATGGTATCTTGTTACTTGTTTTCTTGTTTCCCCCTTTAAAACTCCTCTGTGTTCTTGTAACAAGTTTGAATATCTCACATAGTTAATATGATTGCATGAATAAATGGTGAAAAATCCTTTGTTTGAGCTTTCATTCTTATGAATAAACTAGCGAGAGGAGGGAGTCTTCTTCCCTGTAGCACGCTACAGAGATAGTATTCGGAATTACATATGCTTTCAGATAGAAAACAGTTTTAATTTACTTAGGGGAAAATTTCAAAGCAATTTATATGCATCTGATTTCATTTTTACTTTGGTGGTGAAGGCCTACTCTCAGCCAGTAAGTAGCTAAGTTATGCCCATGATAACTAAGCACTGGATAATATACTATTGGTCACGATATGACTCAAGATAAAGATGTCCCTGTTAAAACTCTCTTAACTATAATTTGACAAAGATGATGGTCCAGACAATTACTGGCTTGTCTGAACTGATATAATTACTAGTAAGAGCCAAAACAAAACAAAACAAAACAAATCAACAAATAGAGTCCCTTGAGAGAACAAAGATTATTTTTTTTTAACCACCTTACCATTTAGGGAGAACCACATGTTGGTTTCTTTTGTTTTTGTTTTTTATTTTGGGGGGGGGAGCTAATTTGTTTACTGTAATCATTACCTTAATGTTTGATTAAGGGTCACATCCTGTACTGTTTGGGGTGCTTCAGGTCAAACACATTTAGGCACCATGCAAATTTTGTTGATTAGCTAATGTTTCTCTCTATGGCACCTTTCTCATTTGCTCTTAAATGAATACAGTAAGATTCTCTATCCATTCTTTCATATGTGTTCAGACACAGATTTTTTTTCTACCCAATGCTAACCCAGAATGCACTGATTAGCCAATTGCACACCTCTCTCTTCTCAGAGTGGTCTGGGGGGTTATGTGTGAGAAACGAGGTGAGTTTCCTCTTGTGTGTACAATACAGTAAGCTGAATAAGAATTACTTGAAGGTAATAGCTAGACACAGTCCTCAAACAGTCAGCGAAATTGAGAAATCAGAGGTATGTCCTCAGACATGTGGCATTCACAACCTCTTCTATGAAAAGAAGACTTCCTTTACAAGTTATGGAGTGCAGACCGTGAGCTATTAAATGGTCTTAGGGATGTTGGCTCCGTATAACTCATTTGGGGATCCGGACAGGGAAGGTGGAGGAAACATTTGTATACACACCGTCCACTGATTTTTTTCAAGGGTAGTACTTAATTTAGTGAGAATATTTCATAACTAAAGACGGGAATCCACTTGCACCCCTAACCTGTAACTTCTAGAACTTTAAGAAGGAGAACCCAACATCACGCTTTTAGCACTCCATGTGCTCTTGTGTATTGTCTTCTGTAGCTATATCACCAACCCTCTGGCCCAAGGAAACTCAAATTTTTGGATAATTTGACTCCTTGGGGGTTAGAAGGATGGAGTTTTCTGGTTGCATTAGCTCAGTTTTTGATGGTATTGACAGCGAAGGCCCACGTTTCTTTTCTGCTAGGCAGGTATTACCAGAGTCACCCTTGCGAATTCACAGTGGCTGTTTGATATCCGGCTTCATAAACTGATTACACACACTCTGAAGGCTATAATAACAAAAGACCATTAAAAGATTGCTTATCCTCCTCATTATTTTATTTGCCATTGACAGCATGAAGAATAAATCAATATGGTTATAATGTAGCAGTATTTCTTGTGATGGCCACTGTACATGTTTTAGTCTTACGATCTTTATTGTGGCTGAAATATGCGGCAGATTGCCAATCGTTTTCCCACAATGCACTTTTTTGGCGGGGAGGGTAGACAGTTTATTGAAATGCAATGCCAACACGCATAATCAATAGTTCATCTTATTTTTGCTGCAGGGACGTCCATGGAAAACCCTCACGTAACTCACTGCTGGGCTTTCTATTATTGTAGTAAATTTTAAAGCTCAGCTCTCCCACTAGAGGGAAGTGTTGGCAAAAGGAAAGATTTCTTCCTCTGCCCTGGAGTTAATTTTATCATTAAAACCCATTATAGTTTGCTTCCTGTGGTTCTATTTGTTGATCTGAACAAAAAATTAGTTTTTGTGTTTCAATAGCGCATTCCAAATGTTACTGTTACTGTAGTTTTCAACTAAAACAAAGCCAGGGATCCCACACTGTTTTTCTTTCTTTTTTTCTTCTCTCTCTTTTTTTTTTTTAACCAGTAAAGCTTGTAATTTGAATCGATGCATCCTACAAATAAAACTTGACCTCCAGTTGTTGTTAGCTAGCTGGAAGAAAACATGAGTTTTATATACTCATTTTTAAAATGAGAGTCTAAAATAACCGCACAAACCGTTTTGCTTTGCTTTGCTTTGTTTTGTCTTTTCAAACCTAAAGATAGATTTGAGGAACAATTTGTACAGCATTCCAGGATGCTCTGAGATAACTGGCAAGTATATAAATGAATAATAAGTTGAAAAAATTAACACAAAATATAAATATAAGGAGATTGACAGAGTGTGATATTTTTCAGAAATATAAACCAATTGTGGCCTAAATCTCCCTCAGCTATGATGGCCCCCAAGAAGACACAGAGGTGGGAACCAGTGGACGGAGCAGCCTTCGTGCCCGTGCCATTCTGCCTGGCCCTGGCGCTGCCCTGAGGCACTGCCTGCCCTCCCCCTGCCCTCCTCAGTCTAGTACTGTTGGTTCTATTGTCTGTGCCAATTAGATCTCTTCCTGGCCGCCAGACTCCATGTATGAGTGGGTACAGCAATGTTTCCTGCAGGACTGTCCTCTGTTTTCTGTTTCTTGCTGCTCTCTTGTGTTACCTTTCCTGACTCCTCTCATGCCTGAACTCCTCAGGGTGTTGTAGTCACGCCCTGCATGCCTTTACACAAATGGCGTATTTTGTATTTTCCTGTTTTGCATGAAGACGTTCTTAAAACAAAATTCAATTTCTCTAATATTTTCATAGTTTTAAAAAACTAAATTCATCGCTAGAACAATCTTTCTTTTATCCCCGAACTCAAGAGGCAGAGGCGGGAGGATCTCTGTGAGTTTGAGGCCAGCCTGATTGATATAGATCAAATTCCAGGACAGTCAGGGCTACACAGAGAAGCCCTGTATAAAAAAAAAGAAAGAGAAAGAAAGAAAGAAAGAAAGAAAGAAAGAACGAAAGAAGGAAAGAAAAAAATTAAAATGAAAAAGAAAAAACCCTAAAAAAGAGAAAAAACTCATATAATATTTAAAATATTTCTGAAATTATTTTTAAACAATCCTCCATCTCTTCGCTATAACTCATTTGTCTCAAGAACCTACAGATCTTAAACCATTGTATAGTTTTAAAGATTTCACAACAGTTAACAGTTTTTTTTTGTTGTTGTTGTGGGTGAGACAAAATGGAGGTAGAAATGATACCCGTATTTAAAACAGCAGCCCAGTCAGCATTCAGCCACATCAACAGTTGCTTTCTCTAAAGCCTAAGACAGTTCCTCAAATAACATTCTTTGGAACTATAGCCCCCAGAAGAGGCTTCATAAACAAGACCAAATATTCTTCTTTTAAAAAAAGATTTATTTATTTCTTTTATGTGTATGAGAGTTCTGTCTCTGCAGGCTTGTCTTCTGCAGGACAGAAGAGGGCTTCAGATCCCAGTATAGATGGTTGTGAGCCACCATGTGGTTGCTGGGAATTGAACCCAGGACTTCTGGAAGAGCAGACAGTGCTCTTAACCACTGAGCCATCTCTCCAGCCACTCCAAATATTCTTTATTGGTAACGAAACATTATTTTATTTCTTCGAATTCACAATCTACAGTAACGTTTGGTTTAGTACGGCTGTATAGAAATGTATTTACTTTTACATAGTCCTGTGTTTCCCAAAGTTATTTGTCTTGCCATAGAGAAATCTCTCCAGCCCCAAGCACCCAGTGAGTTTTTAGAACAGCAATCATTACTTCAATAGCTAGTTTCCTATAATTATTTTTTTTGTTCAAATGTCCCCATTTGAGACCAAGAAATGATGGCTGTTGCTAGTCTTGAAACGTGCAAAGTTTCTGCCTGTTTTGTGCCCTGTTTTCCTCAAGCCATGGCTTCTAGGACCAGATCAAAGTCAGGATGCTGCTCGGTGGCCTTCAGGGGCTGCCATGGTCCTGTGCTTTGCTTCGTCCGGGAAGAGCTGAGGTCTTGCTTATAGTCTGTGTCATAGCAATGGTGAGTTGTGGAAGAGAGTCCTTCAAAAGAATGAGACACGAGGTCCTTCTAGGGCATTGTTTACCACAGCCTGTGGACAATCTTTTGCTCCAGGTCCTCTGTCCTGTTCTTCCTGTCCCACAGGGCACTCTGAGACAGACAGGCACAGCTACAGAAGCTCTCTATCACTTGCTCCTCTGCAGCCAGTCTGATAAAATCACAACCAATGAAGGAACCTTATCACTCACCTGTCTCCACTTGCCCCTTGAAGATGTCATTCATCTATGAACAAGTTCAGCCTTTCTGATCTGTACTCACTCTAGTCCTACAATTATATCATATCTTATATGAACTTAGATCATAAACTTGTAAGTTGTATTATGACTCAGTTTGGGAGGGAAGACATCATACTGGATCTGCTTATTTACTTTGGAGTTTTGGTTTTGACTTCAGATTCTTTCCCATAGTATGTAATTTATTGTGTTTCCACACAATAAAGGTTTGTTTATCAGTGCCCTTTAACACTACAACAAAATATAGGTTGTTTATATGATTTTGTTTTATTCTATTGAAACTTGACATTTGGAAAGGTTTTCCACAGGTGTTTGTGGAAAACTTTTGTTTTGTTCACCATGGAGATGTATTTTCTTCCAAGAATCCTTTGATTTACCCAGTCACCAAGGTTCAACCAACACTAAATAACTTTATCTAGATACATTTTGTTTTCTCCTTTACAAAAGAAATCACCTCTTTGCTCATACTTTTTTTTTTTGTTAAGAGAAGATCTTTGAGACACTTTCCTCATGGTGATCGTATGGGAGCAAATACTTCTCTCGCCAACACTACATGATTGTGTGCCTTGCCGGTGTTGCTAGAAGCAGACAGACAGCAGAAACTTTGCAGGTTTGTGGAGGTTGCATTTGTGGAGAAATGGGACCTGAACAGTTGTCAATTAGGAAGAGTGGGGATGTTTTGTTGGCTTCAGCAGTATATGGCAGAGTTTCAAATTTTCAATTTGCATATCCTACTTGGAGTTACCAAAAACAAAAACAAACAAACAAAAAAAGGCAACCATCTGCCTTTAGAAAGATGTTGCCTGGGAATTTGTTGTGATTTTGTAAGTAAGAAAAGAGTGACAAAGTGAAAGTGATATTGAACATGTATGTAATTAAGCACTAGAGAAATTTTGTTTCAAATGTATGATAAATAAGGAGTGACATGGGGCTGAGCAGAGATGGTACACGTCTTTAATCCCAGCACTCGGGAGACAGGGGCAGGTGGATATCTGTGAGTTTGAGGCCAGCCTGGTCTACAGTGTGAGTGCCAGGATGGTCAGGGCTGTGAAACCCTGACTCAAAAAAACAAAAACAAACAACCAAAAAAACACCCAACAAAACAAAACAATAAAAAGTAAGATGAAAAGAAAAGAAAGGAAATGGCGTGGGTCAGGTGCCTTCAGTCACTGGAATACTTGACCTCTGTGAATAAAATGAAAAACGGAGGCACAGAGTGCGCCAAGCATCCCCTCAATCAGAGGAAGGAACGAGTTACAGAGATTGGTTTCTCAGAGATGTTGCTGTGAGTCCTAGTGAAACCTTCCATTACAGTGAGGAGTAGCCTGGGAAGACGAAGGAAGCTTGCTTCTAGATAGGAAACGGGGTGATTAAAAACATATTCCTATTCTGTTTATTTTTAAATCAAACATTTGGACCCAGCTTGCCTCTACGGGCTTCTTCCAGGAATGCAGCGAAAGCAGACTGTGCTCCGATCAATTTGATATATTTAGCTCCAGTTTGACTTCTTTGGACTGCCTATGTGAGCACAGGTCTAGCCTAGAGCCAGCGCAGGCAACTCCACTCACGGCTGCCTATGACAGTCACCACCAGCTGCTTCTGAGAGAGAAGCCGATGCCATTTGAGCAGCTATTTTCAACCTGCGGAGAGTTGGAAAAGTTCATCAAATGACAAGGCTCCGTCCTTCGTCACGTAGCAGTGATAACCGGACTCTCTCCCACTTTTTAATGCTCGAGGGCTCGTTCCTACCACAGCACATGATTTTGATCTACTAGATCCATTTTGGTCACTCTCACTCAGTGACTTTTACTGACTTTTCCTGTTGTGGCAGTTTTCCTTTTCTTCCCCCAAGAAACTGTGTACACACGCCCTAGAATTCACAACACAGACCAGGCTGGTATGGTTCTTGTGGGACTCTCTCTGCCTTCCATTTGCTAGGACCATCGTTGTATTGACCATCATGATCTGGCAGTCATATGACAAATGACAAATTCTTATCGACCTGGGAGGTGAGCCAAGTCCTCAGTGTCAGAGAAATTGAAGGGCAATCCAGAATTGAACATTAAACTCACTTGTCTCTGAATCTCATTTCATTTTAGAGCCTTGAAACTAACAACTAAACCTGTTCATTCTGAGGCTGAAGGACTCCTCATCATCTATCTACACTTTGTGTCTAACTCTCTCTTTTAACCTGAAAAGTTTTCGATAGACATTATAATGTTGTGGACTGTGGGCCATATTGCATCAAAATGAAATTCTGATTTGACCAGTCACAGCCTGCGGCAGACTGACAGCCGGCCTTCCAAGATTTGTTTAATGCATCTTTAAAATCCATCTCATATATGGTTATTTTGCAAGTATTCAAAAGGATGTCACATCAATAAATCTTTATCCTTGGTTTATACCACTGAATTTTGTGAGTTAAAAAAAATATGTGGTACATAGAGAAGGGCAGTCACCCCAGGGTCCTTACCTTCACAATTACTGTGACTGTCGCTATGCCAGGTGGCATTGTCCCGTAAATATCAAAGGCCTCCACCAAGAACGTGATGCTTGCTTCCTGGTCAGGAAAGGCTTCGTAATCCAAGCTCCTCAAAAGGGACAATTCTCCAGTAAACGGATGCAGTGCAAAAAGGTGCTTCACTTCGGGGCTTCTGATCCGATATGACACATTTGCTCCTAGGTCGACATCCTTAGCCTAGGACAAGTTAGACGGAATAGTTACATCAGATGGTTTCGCACAAGAGGAGTGAGGGATAATGGGAATGTGTGAGAGCCTTGGGCAGCACTGGTTTGATGATAAGGAAGAGATGCAAAACTGTCACTTATCAGGAAACAGAAAACCGAGAGGGGAAAGGCCAAACATATGATAGCGAACACAAGATGATTTTGAATAAACGTACTTCTGTACTTCTGGAGTGATTTACGTAAACGGGTTCTAAAATCCTACGAGGGACATGAGGAAATGCAGAAATAGTTCCCTTTCAGAAGGATGCCTTGGAAGGATGAGGTGACTCTCTCCTGCAAGGCCCTTGCCTTTTCCCTGGGGTGTGCTAAGCACTCACTACGCAGAAGGTTCAGCAAAGAGACTAAAAGTAACTGAGATATATATACATCATGTTCTCCATATCACAGCCCGAAAGGGAAGTAAGATGGAAATGGCCAAACAAAAGGATGTATTTATTTGTTTGTGTTTGTTTGTTTATATTTTTAGTTTTTATTTTTGGTGCTGGTAGAATGGCATTCCGTCAGCATCCCGAGGGAGGGAGCAGAACCTCGGGTCTGTTGAATGGGTACTCACGGAATCAGGTACCCGCCTACACGCCTGTCAAGTTCTCCTCTTATTGGCTGGTGATATCACAGAGGAGAGAACCAGTCAGACTCAGATTTTGTGTCATTTTCCTGTCAAAAATTGTCCTGTCTGCGCTCCATCTTCGACCAACACTGTCAGCTCCCTTTCTGTTATTGCAACAAAATTCCCAGGCTAAGTGACTTACAAAGGGCTTTTGGCCTCTGGTCTCGAACCCCTGTGTGGGCAGGTGGAGATCCAGGAGATCATGATGGTCAACAAGGACCAGAGCAGCTTTGCTGGTGTCATGAAACCCGGGAAGCAGAGAGAGAGACACGAAGAGACCAGAGACTCAGAATCTTCTTCCAAGGGCATGTTTCCTGTGCCCCAACCTCTAACAATCCCCTAGGCTGGGGACCAAACCTTGAACTCGAGGGCCTTGGGGGACATTCAAGATTGAAATGACAGCAATCTAATTCCCTGAATACAGTGGCAGAACACAGCGCCTCCAAGCTCTTTAGAACCTTGAGCATCAATCAGCGTCCCCTTAGACATTTTCAGCGTTTTATTTATTTATTTTTTTACAAGGCCTTGAATAATCCTTTCTGCTTCTCTCTTTGTCTGGTAACTGACTCGCCTCTCAGTTCACGGTTGCAAAGTAGCTTTCTCCAGTTAAAAAAAAAAAATTCACCCAAGGTTGTATAAAAATATATCTTGGATCCCTACGACCTCGGTTCTGACTGCGAATGCCGGGTGACACATAAAGCTGACTGAGAATTCCACAGAGGCTGTCAGTCCATTTTCATCACTCTTGCGTCACCAAAGAGTGTATATGCACACGCATACATGCATATGTCTATAACATATATGTATGTAACAACAATGACAAAAAGGGGACACGAATTTGAAAGAGACTAGGGAGAGGTATTGAGGCTATTTGGAAGGAGGAAAGGGGAGGGGGAAATGATATAATATAAAAAACTAAAAATATCGATTACTAAAATATATCGGAAGTCATAGTATGTAGTTGGGGACCTATGGTGCATGATTGTTGAAGAGGGGGCTGGACTAACAAATGGACAGACGATTCCTGTTTAGCACACGACTTGATTTGACTTATCAGTGTCTATAAGCTAAGCATTAAGGACTTGTGGAGGCACATCAAGAAAGCCTGGATAGAAAAATCCAAGCTGTACTAACGGGTGAAGTATAAACAGACTGCCGTGTTTTCTGTTTGTCACAGACCCCCCCTCCCATGTCAAAATTAAATGGGCTAGTCTAAATAAATGGGAGATTTATGGGCTCACCTGTAGAAAATGTTGTGAGAGTGAAAACAATCACTACAGAATAAGCAATATTATGTGTCTGTATACAAATTATATGGGTAAAAGTATATTAAGTCACATGTGTATATGTAAATACACGAATATATATGTGTTACATATATGTATACCTGATGTCTACTTGGTATTTGTGTGAGCCCTTTGATAGGTGTGAAGAACACTCACAAAAATTTGGTGCTGATTTTTTTTTTTTGAGAAAATGAGCTTTTTCTTTGTGTTGTCAACATGACAAAACTACCTAAAGTTATTTTTATACATGTAAAATGCATGATATTTCTTTTTATTACAGACTTTCTCCTTTCACGTTTTTGGGTTCTCCCGGAGGAAGATTTTCACGTAAAATGCAATATGCAAGTTTTTGAGACACAAGAAGACTTATCTATAACTTCTCTGCGTTTTTCTCTGCGTTTTAGCTATCATAAGTTTGTCATTAAACGTCGATGCCTTTTCCTCACAGCTAATCCTATGATGTGGATTTCGTGGAATGAATGCACAGGTCCACACACCTCTACTTGAAGGAAGGTGGTCCCGGCGGGCAGATTCTCTTCAACCACGACCGTGTACGTCGAATTGGTGAAAACAGGGCTGTTGTCGTCAATGTCCAACACTTTGATGTACAGCGTCAGGGTGGAGTGTCGAGGGTGCACCGCTCCGTCCGTTGCCACGACAACCAGCTCGTAGCGGTCCCTGACTTCCCTGTTCAGCTTCACGGCCGTGTAAATGCTCCCGTTGGACGTGATGCGGAAGAGGTTGTTGAAGTTTCCCAGGCTATAGTGCACTTGGCCGTTTATCCCAGCATCTGGGTCTGTTGCCTAGACGGAAGAAAGAGATGGCTTCACACAGCAGCTTCTCTCATACTGGTGACAAACTGTGCCATGTTTTCTAACCAGATATCCTTTTTTTTTTCCTCTAACGGGAAAATTAGAAAGATAATAAAGGTACAATTTGCAGTCAACAGCATGAAAAAAAAAAAAAAAGCTATGATTTAATTATATACTCAGTGGAAATGAAATAAACTGATATCATTAGACACAGCGATATACTATGTCAGAGAAAATGAACATTATAAAAACAGAACGTTTCCTGTGTTTTTATTGCTACCGTGGATTTTTAAATGTCAAAAATAGCACTTGGTTTTAATTAATTTAAGATAATTTACTAACAGCTTAAGATTTGATGGTTGTTTTGCTTAAGAAATTCATAGTCATTTTCACATTTACATATGTTTGGGTGCAATGTATATTTACCTCATTTAATCCGTGTGATGATTTTAATGAGTAAATAACAGTGGCCCCATTTGGCAAATGAGACCATATGGCTTAAGGAAATTAATTGTCTTATGTAAAGTTATAAAAAAAATTAGATACCTCAGGGGCCCTAGAATTTAGCAAATGACTCATAAGTAAAACTGTTTAATAAATGCAAATGAAGGTAATGAATGTTCGGTGAATAGACGGGTCTGAAGTTTGAAATTAAATGTATTTTCCAACTGAATGGTAATAAAAGTATAGTAATTGTCAAATCACAAGGCAGGGCTACTGTTTAATATTAGAATATGAATCTCAAATAATAGCTGACAATTGTTGGTGCCACCTGAATCTGCATTTGCTCACAAATTTTGGCATAGAGTCTTTTGCATGAAAATGGAAAAGCTTCTAATAGAATGTTGATGGAAGTATTCTTATTTAAACTTCAGTAAGTTTATGATAACTTATGTTATGCCACCAGATACTGTACGTTTTATATCAAAAGATACTCTTATTGTTTTTCATAAAGTCTTGACTCTATACCCAAAGCTGTGAAATACTCTAAAATTATGTTCCAAACCACCCACTAAAGACAGAAAGGGGACAGGCCTTCATTTTGATTTCCAAACTCGGCGATCACTGAAGCTTTGTGAGACCCTGAATGCAAGGCACTGAACGCTAGCATCACACACACTTTTCTCAGTTTACAAAAATAAGGTTGAGCCTGGAGCAGTGGCACAGGTCTGTAATTCCAGCACTAGGGAGGCAGAGGCAGGAGGATCTCTTTGAGTTCAAGGTCAGCCTGGTCTAAAAGCAAGGCCAAGACAGCCAAGGGTACACAGAGAAACCCTATCTCAAAAAACAAAACAGTACAAAACAAAACACCCCTCAATAAAAAAAACAAACAAACCAACCAACAAAAAAAAAAAAAAAAAAAAAAGGAAAGAATAAAGTTGAAATGTGTACATCGGGCTGGTGGAGAGACAGCACCTGCTAATGGTGTGAATTCAACCCCTGGAAAATATATAGTACAAGAACCCACTCTGACTTCACACATATATTGTGATATGTGTGAGCGTGCGCAGGCAGGCACACACACACACACACACACACACACACACACAACACATAATAAATAAATAAGCAAACAGAAAATGAAGTGTAAAAATCTAAGAACATGTGAACACACTCTTCCATTTCATATGCCTGACACTCAGCCAGTCTGTCCTTTAGACAAAAAATATGCCCTGTAGAGGTGAATCATGAGAACAAAACAGGAATGACGTAAGGCCTGGAGAAGAAAAAACAAAACACAGTCAGAGAATTAAAGAGTTATGCGGAAATATTTTCCTTGAGGCTCCAATTTGCTGAGATGCTTCCGGAAACCGTTGGGAGATTAGTTGCGCTTGCCATCCTACTTGGGACGACAAACAACATACTCCATCATCTGCAGAAGGATCCTGAGGCATTTGTTTTCTGAAGTCAGCGGATCAATACAGAAAACGTTAATTTAATAATTCAGTTAGGTTGTGTTCCGTACATCTCTGCCCTTACGATTTTCATTCTCACCTTCCATCTCTGAGACACTTAGTAAAAACTGCTCTGCTCATGCATCATGATTTAAGTGACTCCGATCCAAGGTGGTGTGCTCATTGTTGCAATTCAAAAGTCCCTATGACAGGGTCATTTGATTTAACCAGCAAGCCTTTGCTTCTGCTTCTCTCTCTCCCTTTCTCTCTGCGCCCTCTCCCTCCCTCTCTCGGTCTGTGTCGCCTTCCTGTGTGTGTAAAAGGACTTGAGCATATTTTCTTCTTTGTATGTCCAGCTATTTAACTAATGTTGCATTTTTGGTATTCGAATATGTCTTACCATGAATCACAAATAAACAGAAATGTATCAGCTCCCGTGAAATAAAAATTCATCATCTCAATCTCTGCAGATTACAAGTTTAGTGTGGGGCCATTGACCTAAAATCTAGGAGTGAGGCACCTCTTCTCCCTCCTGAAGACTCTGGGGAAATATTGACATTATTGACAGAATTGGGCTGTATAAGCAGCAACCCTGATATCCCCACACCCCTGTGAACATTGCAATGTGAAGGCTGCTGCCAGCCCTCTGCGCCACCATTTTCTGTACCCGTGAGGGCAGGAAGAATAGTCAAGCTTTCAATCGTTTCTCCTCCTTCTCACCTCTTTGATTCATGCACAGACACCTTGCTCCCCTTTAAAAGCTCATGAATTCCTGGCACAACCTGAGACTCTTCCTATGGGAGAGAGCTAATCCCGGACACTATTAATGTTGCTCTGTTATGAGTTGCATAGCTGCTCTCTGAGAGGCTCCACCCAACAGCAGATCAAAACAGATGCTGAGACTCACAACCAAACATGGGCAGAGCTCAGGATGGGGAAAGGCGGGGAGAATAGAAGGACCTGGAGGGGACAAGAAAAGACCAACAGGGCCAACTAACCAGGGCCCAGAGGGCCTTATGGAGCACCAGCCAAGGATCACGCTTGAACTTGACCTAAGCCCCTTACACATCTATAGACAATGGGTAGATTGGCTAACACATGGGCCCCCTCGAAAGGGGAGAGGAGGGCTGTCTCCAACAGGGACTCTGTTGCCTGGCGGGGCTGCCTCCTGAGGCCACAGGGAAAGAAGAGGTGCTAAATCCGTTGCTACTTCATGTTCTTACTTGGTAGTGGGGAGGCTCCCCTTATCCAAGGAGTAGAGAAGGGGGAGAGCAGGATATGGGAGGGAGGATGGGAACGGGAGGAAAGAAGGAATGGCCTCCAATAAGAATGTAAAGTGAATAAATAATTAATCGATCTTAAAAATGAAAATAATAAATAAAGAAATAAAACATGAAAAATTATTGGCATGTTAAGAAAATAAAATAAAACTCATGTGAGTATTTTAGGCTTATTTTGACAAACAGGGCTATATTATCCTCACAAGGACCTTTGTTCTAATCACACATCTTGCAAATATATGGTAACCTATATATTTTTTGAAATTATTCGCTTTTATTCTACCTGTTAAATATCTGTTTAAAAAGCTTTCTGTTAACAAATGTTAGTTAGCTGGAGCACCTTAACTCCTTTAAAATGAATTTTTAATTAGCTAAAGTGTAGGGAATGTGTTAAATACCCACAGATGCCTAAACCTTTGCTTCATCTCCTGCCACTTAGCTCCCTGCATGGCTAGCCACCGTGAGAGAAATTGTGTCCGACTGTATATTCCATGGCAATTAACTCTAACGGTGGACACGCTGCTCAAATCTGCAGCTAATGGTGACAAAAGGACAGAATATGTATGGAAGCTGCTTCCTTCCTTCCTTCCTTCCTTCCTTCCTTCCTTCCTTCCTTCCTTCCTTCCTTCCTTCCTTCCTTCCTTCCCTGTCTCCCAGGCACTGAGCAGAGAAGAATGAGGTTGTGATTTAGGCACTGGGGCCAGATTCGGTTACTTGCTGGTACTTAAGAGGAAGTGGGTGTGAGACAAGAGAGCTATCTGCGGAGTTCCTGTTATCAATAGTCTGTCGAGAACTTTGCATGGATGCTTAATATCTACTGAAGCAGCTCGCTGCGCAATGCTATAATGGAGCCATTTATCTTCTTACAGATCAATTAAAAGTTAATTAAAATGGTTAATAAGAAAAATCACACTCCTCTCCTTATTCTACATCAAAGCAATAAACAGTACTGGCTGCAACTTTATAATCATCTGTCCATGGCATACTCATTTTAAAATGTATGTCTTGCTGTGGCCTGATTTGTGGTGAGTTTTTTTTGGGCATGCATATGGCGTGGAGATCAGTGGAAAGTCTGATCAAATAAACACTCCAATCATTGAAATAAAGGTCTCACTGGAGAGAAGTTTAGATATGTGCTGGAAAGACAAACAATACATCAAAGTCACTAAAATCAAAATTAGAACATATGTTAAAGAGAACCAGTTATTTATGAGAGAAGCCAGAGGCCATGCAAAATCACTTGCTAAACAAGTATCATTTTTGAATGATTGTATACCAGTGGTTTTTTTTTTTTTTTTTTTCCCCTTGTGCCTGTCAACAGAGTTAGGGATTACAGTTCTTAAGCATTCATTTCATACCCTCCTTTTTGTTATTGCTATTTCTGCTTATTGTCTACCTAGAGGTCTAAATCTTCCTAGGTATGTGTGCCTTGTTGCTGAGGCATCAGACAAGCAGTTCTTGTCTGCAATATGTCAGGAATCGATTGCAAGTTAAAATGTTCTTATCACTGCATTCAAATTATTTAGAGAAAGTTATTTGTTTAGAGTGACAAAATTCTTTTACAAGCAATCCTTTGATGACACACGGGAGTGTCACAGCTACCATGCAGGTTTAAGCTGGCATGTGGCACCTCATTATACCAGGATGAGGATGAAAGTGAGCTTTGCTTGTCCTTTGCAGCAATTTCAGAGGTGGCGGCCTCCTTTCTCACTTAGAGACTATCTGTAGGAGTTGCTGAGGACGAGGGCATCTGAACACCAGCCAGGGCATCTTTAATGACATTACAGGTAGAGAGGCCTTTCGAAAGTTATTACCT